GAAAGTTCGCTTGTTCCATCGATCGAGGTGCGTTGCCCGATCGGCGCATCAGCGCGCGCCGCAGGCTGCCAAGCAGGCTCGCGCGCTAACCGATGGCTCCTTAAAGTCGGAGGCTGCGATGGCCGACCGTGGGTATATTCTGACCTAGTAAACAACTGAAACTTATACGAAAACAGTTGGAAATTTCGATAAACGACCTCAAAATAGATAAAAGAAAAAATCCCACAGAAAAGAAACTAATCCCAAAAGACGGGAAAAATAATGATGGTTTTTGCCCGTCGGCGGCCGAAGCGCCGTGATGGCCGCCAATCCGATAAACACGCTGCAAATACATATCTAAGATAATTCAAACAAAGTACATAATTGCTTAATTCAGATAATGCGTGAGAAATGTCAACCTTTGAGATCCACACTGTCATATTTGCAAAAATATCCGGTTCCTCAATTCTTAGCACACACAGGAGATGTCGAAATAACGAAGGAACCTACGAACTTTATCATTCAGCATATTACATTCTAGCGTTCTTTAACTTCATCCGAATGCTTAATCAGAGCATAATTGATTAGCGGAATCTTTTTGCATATATTACCTGTAAGAACCTGAATGACTCTGTCTGCGACAGACGGATTAAGGCATTCGACGAAGCAGACACCGAGCTGCTTGTCCATTTTGACGCTAAATACACCGTTGGCCATTCCTACCAGGTACCCAAAAATATTCTCCTGCGTGACCCACGACGGCAAATTTTTTACGCGCACGTACCGCATCACTGACAGACTCTTCCCTGAAACAGACATCTGACAAATGAAGCCAACAATCGAATGAATGCCGTACTTATATACCGGTTGGTTCGCGCCATCGTTGACGCGTTTGATTCTGATTGGCTGAGGGGCAAACACTATCATCAATATTTAGGAGGAACCTATAGAGGAAAGAGAGGAGACGAACTGTACCGTAGCAGCCTACATGATTATTAAGGATGTATTTATAAACCGACAACAAATAAGGTACCTTCCAGAATATTAACATAAAATGAAACCAGCATGAATGTAAATTGACATATTATACAAGAGCTACTATGACTATGTAACGCTCATCATTAATTTCATAGAGATGATGAGCAGCAAACAGAATTTATTTCCTTAAATTTGAGTAATTTAATTTTTTCCTTAAATTGAAGGAAAAATTTGAGTCATACATGCGAGTGTCATTTTCTGTTCAGAAGGATGAGGAAACTGTTATCTCCAGCAATTAGCTTGATCAGATGATCAAGTATCCGTCATCTTCTGGAAGAAAAAAAATACATAACTAAAACATTCAGTGACCCGTAAAAGTTTAAGAAATTGGTTTAACTGCCCTTGCCTTATTCGCTGTTCGAAGTGTGGTGTTCACAGTTTGAACAACAGAGGAAAGCGAGTAATTGACTCTCAGACTTTTGCCATGTCAGCTATCTCACCTCCACGTCTTCCTTGCAGACACGTCTTCCATGAATCTGAAATTCAAGTTCAGTGAACGGTTTCTTCTTCTACTAAAGAGTCACAACGAGAAAGGGACCTGTCAAATTCGATATTTATCAACTGCTCATGCATGAAAAGTCAATCAATACATAGAAGCGAAAGATATTTTTGGTTTTCTTTATCCTCAAATCTCATAATATCGCAAACTGAACATTTTCCAGATCCATAAACCGGTGTTTTTGATGTCTTCTTTTATTCTCAGAGCTCTTACAACCGCCATGTTGTCCCTGTTTGCGAATCATCAGAGAGTCTGGAATATTAATTTGAGATTAATGATATTCTTTGAACGGTACTTCTAGACTGTAAAAATCTGCATGTTTTATAATTCTGCAAGTTATTCCCTCCTGCGACGAATCTTTCCTTCTGAAATTTATTTTAGGCAATATTGACCGATGGCAAAGATCAGAGCTAAAAGTAACACTAGCGTTTCATGCCCAGAAGTATTGTGGTTTCATCACTTATAAATGCCCTCATTGAAGTCTGCCTTTATAAGTATAAACGACAGATGCATTCAGTAGAATAATGGATTTTCTCGGAAAACGAGCTACTGTTTCCTCGCGTAGCACCTGTTGGAGGCCAGCCGGTTTCGGAGTCAGGTATCATAAGCAAAGCAAGAGATGATCATTACTCTTTGAAATTGATATAACTGCTCTCTGACCGATAATGAACAAGGTTGAAATTTCAAAAGCATAGAGGTACCAAATGAATATATTACATACGGTACGAATTTAGAGGTCTGTGTCCGTGTGCACGGAAAGAAAATGATGCCTTTCATTGAAGATATTGACCATGCAAGTGTGTATGTTGTCTCATTTCCTGTTCTTAACTTTCACTGACTACATCAAAGGCGCAGCCTAAACACAGATAATGCAACGGTTCAATAGATTCGATTGTGCTATCTGCTGTTTGAGGATGATCTCATGATTGTTTAACTGAATGGTGAATTCGAACATGCACGACGTTTCGCTGCCAAAAACGGTTAGGCCGGAATGAAAATCAGCCTAACAGAATCCCAAGTCTTTGTACTTTCAAGAAAGCGCAATCATTGTGCTCTACAGGAAAGTGAAGTGCAAGTACAGGAAGAATACAATTTCAAATATCTCAACGTACCGTTTATAAGCTAGCAGGCTTTACCTGGAAATATAAAAACGAATGGGCCAGGGAAGTACTCAGTAAATTCATTACAGCGGTCCGCAGCGATGAGAAAGGTACCGAGGTTCACAATATTTTCATTTTAACGTGCTGATGATTGCAATATTTCAGAAAAATGACGCAATTCAGGGCAGCAACGTAAAAATAGGTCTCTTCGAAAAACTGTTCGAATGGCAAGACTCGACAAATCCGAAACACTATAGTTCGAGATGTATTCGTAGCCAGATCCAAGTTTTCAATGGGAAAAGAGAAAATAGCACTTTCTCTTTTGATATCGGTTTGAAGCGGCGCAATGGCACCGTTCTCTTACTTTTAACCGCCTAGGAGATCATTTAAGCAGGCTTGACTCAGTGGTATTTGAGCACTTCCAGTGAATTGATGCAGAACCGCATTTCTAGGAAGGGCCGAACAAAGGCCTGTTTGGACCCCTGCAATATTGCACGATCCGCAATGAGAGCATAATTGCAAAGCTTTGGAGATGCCGCAGAACAGACTCGCATAGCGCACTCATGTATTTAATTTATTCTCATGTATTGCACTGTAGAACTGGGGCCACTGAAATTCTGTTTTAGTTGCGAATCAGGAATTATAACAAGGGATTCTGAAGCAGTGGCTGTCGCAATTCGAAATGAACTGCACGTGTTGAAACTTTCCACTTGACATTCGAAAGACTGCAACCATATCGAAAACTTCTTAGGCATGCTGCTACGGTGAATCGAGAAGAATACTCTCTGTATTAATCGATAGAAGCATGAAACTGTCCATGGATGTCAGTGACGAATGAAGAAATATTTGCCTTCTGTCGGATGAGTTCCAAGGAAAGCAAAAAATTTATTGCTAATTCCTGCATGCAAGGAATTTAATGGTACAGAAAGAGCAATGAGTTTTTGATAAGGAAAGCATCCGCTATATAAACAGCTCGTGCAAGACATACGGTTATGCTGTCAAGTGCATGCATCCAATTGCTGAAATTTAGCTTAACATACACGATAGCTGATTAAAAGCAGCACACTGTATAAATTGTAAACCTAATCTAAAATCACATTTATTTTAAATCTGGCGTATGTAAATATCAGTGAGATAATAAGTATTATCAATAGTTTCAATCCTATTATTAATCCCACTCCTGGGAGCTGTCCCAGAATATTTGGATCATATTCTAACATTTGTTAGTAATTTTGCTTGCCCTGATTTTTTTGCAACTTTCTGCAGTAGTTTCTGTTAATTTTTACTTTGTTCCTGTAATACGCGCCACAAAAATATTACTTTGTAGAATTTTATGTGGTAAGCTAGGATATGGTTAAGTGTTTGGGTATTTGAGTAATTAGAAAAATTGTGTTTATGATTCTAAGGTTATGTGCAAATTCAAAATTGTCACAGGCGTCACTGGTCGTCGCTATGGAGTATTTGCTAGAATTTTGTAAGACCTGTAGTGGTGGTTTAACGCAGGTAAATTCAGGCAAGTAAACTTCTTTCGGTCTATTAGTACTGAACTTTTGGTTAGTTAGTTTAATAGTTTGTTGCACTGGTTATCGGTTGTTACGCTGGGATTCCGTCAGCTGTTTATCATGCCATCAGCGTGCCGTAGTAAACCTTTGCACTAGCTAATATAATTACATAGAATGTTTTAGTATAATATAATTTCTATGGTGAACTGAAGCTTAGGTTTGTTGAAATTTGGTTACGAAAGGGCCAACAGTTCCTTTTTTGTGAATATGTGCTGCTGTAGTTTCTCTTGTGTAGACAGGAAGGTTTGAACAATTCATTGTTGACTTTGTAGCAATGCCATTGTTTAAGAATATTGATGATGTCCTAAGATCGTCATGGACACAGCATTGAGTTGTTTGATGGATAAGTTTCTTCCTCATGAGTTCATCCCGCCAACGATAAACTGAGACCTGACGCATCAATAGCTTAATTTTGGTCGTGTTTGTTGATCTATGACGAACCCCTCTCTTGAATTTGGTAACATCAATCACTGTTACTTAAGTTATGTTCGACTATGCTGCATGTCCGATGTCGTTGCAGAAGTATTTTGCGACTATCTGCGTCAGTCACCGATTCTGGATGCTTAGCATCTGGCTTTAGTTTCTTCATTGCCAACGAGAGGTCATCGTTAAACGACCAGTTGAATACTGTTGGAAAACATTGAGCATTGAAACCGTACCAAAAATGTCTTATCATCGTTCCGTTCCTGGATATAAAAGCTATTTGATAATATTTATAATCTCCAGGCAAATGTTTTTTTTCTGAAACGTCGGCAGTAATAAACACTACCATCTGGCTGTTCCTTGGGTTTAGAACAATCGAAATGACGTATTAATGACGAAGAATTTAACTGAATTTCAGAAATCAAAGCTATTTACTTGTTACTTTATTCGTGACAATTTGCCTACGTTCGAAAATGGATATCGATGAAGCCTGCAGAACTCAAGATATTCGGAAAGAATTGGGCAAATGCAGACAAAACGGTGTTTCAGAACCAATTATTTGCACTCTTTGCCGTCTCATATGATAAGTGGTTGCTCAGACAGACCAAATTTTCCAATAATCAGTATTTCATCATCTGAATAGCAAATCTTTATCCAATCAAATGATAATTTTTACAGATCGATGCGAAGAAATCCTGCAAATATTAAGTAATTTTGTAAGAGATACATGACTTTGGTTGCTTTACTACAGTTATCGAACATTTTACCAATGTGGGTTGTCAGTGTTCTGCTGAAGCGGCCTAAGCTGACGACTCAGTAATGATAAATTCTTATGTAGGAAACCTGAGGAATGGAGTATGTACGAGAAAGATATTGTTTCTGCGAAAGAATTTTTCTATCCTTTTTTTTCTAATTGCTTTCTGGCAGTTAAGTTTGTCCTGAGTCATTTTAACCGCTTTTCACTGCCGATAATTATACTTCTTCAACTTCATCTTCCATCGCCGCTTCTACTTTCGGGTCGCGGAGGCAGACGCGTCAGACAGTGCTTCCAACGTT